AGAGAGAGAGAGAGAGAGAGAGAGAGAGAGAGAGAGAGAGAGAGAGAAGAAATGAGTTTCATAGTAAGTCAGGAAGAGAGCCTCAGCTTGAACCCAGGTCTGATAATAAATCCTGTGCTCCATCCACTATTCCACAATGACTTTATTTGGGTCAAATCCATTGGGCACCTTGAGGCAGAGAGAGTTATAGACTCTTGTGCCCCTGGGGTGGGGTTTCAAGATACCTAATAATCATCTAAGGCTTCCTTTCTTCTTCCTCTCTCCTTACCCATGTTGTTCTGTCACAGGGCAGTCGACGGGACTTTGGAGGCAGCTGTCTGAAGGCAAGAGGGGCAGCCCCACTTCGGGTGCCAAGGAGATGATCCTGGAGTCCCCTCCCTGAAGCGTTCATTCCACATGGTGGTCCCAGATTCCTGGAGAGAGGGTCGAAGGACAGAGCAGGGAGGAAAGGGGCCTCACTGGCCTGTGCTGGCCAGACCAGGAGGAGACTAAGGGTCCCAGAGCTACGCTATCTGTGCAGGCTAAGAGACTGGGTGGGAATGTTAGTGCTTGGGCTGGGGGGTAGGCTGAATCTCCTCCTCCGACGGTCTCAAGGCTGTGGCCCAACTCCCAGAGTGCTAACTACACCAGTCCTCACTGGTCAGAGACAATGCAGAACTCTAAGAATTAAGTCTATTGGGGGGTGTGTGCATGCATAGGTCAGTGTGTGTGTGTGTGTGTGTGTGTGTGTGTGTGTGTGTGTGTGTGTGCTGGGAAGTGTTTATGAAATATATGGGCATGTGTGTTCAGGTTTGAAATAAAAGTTATTTTTGATCTGCTGGCCTGTGTCCTGTTCCCAGGTCAGGAGAGGAGGTCCTTGCAGACTTACCACCTGCTGGTTAAGGGCTCAGCTAGCCCTCTAAGAACCAACTGGAATTAACAAACTAGAGAAAACCTAGAATCATTTAACAGAAAAAAGGAAACTGAGGCTCAGATGGCAAATGGAATTTGTTGAAAGTTATACAGCATGTAAGTGACAGAGCCCAAACTGGAAACCAAGTCTGCTGACCCTCATTCTTGTGCTCTTCTCAATGCAGCCCATCATTCCTGCCTAGAAATAGGGGTGGCCTTGACTTGAGATACAGATGACAAGGGCCTCGCTGAACCTGTCCTGTTTCTGCCTGAAAATAGTCCTTTCCTCTCGGTTGTCCCTAGGGCTAGAGGTCACCCTGTAAGGAGGGAGTAAGAGCTACCATGGCCCTATAGGGAGGTACCCACTGGCTTTCCCTCTGGCTCCATCTGAGACCCAGGGCTTGGACCTAATGAACTAGATGAAAGATGCTCTCCCAAATTGGTATTCTTTACCCTTACTCTCTGTTACCTAGAATAGTAAAGGAGTTAAGAATACAAACAGAGAAGGGAAGAAGTTATAAAAGGATACACTGTCAGAACTAGAAGGAACCTTAGAAACCATCTAGTCCATGGGTGGGGAACCTACAGCCTCAAGGCCACACGCGGCCTTCTAGGTCCTTGGGTGCGGCCTTTTGACTGAGGCCAATTTTTACAGAACAAATCCTTTTATTAAGGGGAGGCCACAGGTTCCCCATCCCTGATCTAATCCAATCACCTTATCCTAGAGAGAAGGAAACAAGCCCAGAGAGGAGGAACCAATTACTCAAGGTCCCAGGTCAAGTTAATGGTGCTCTTTATACCAGGCGTTTGCCACACTGGCTGAGGGGCCTGATTTTTCAGCATGGGGAAAAGTTAAATTGAGGGGTAATTGAGGGGTACCCTTTCAGATAGGGGCTAATGTGTCCTGATACTTTGGCTCAGATTTGCTCTGAAATTTGGGAGCTGTTATCCAAAATCTGTGGGCCTCATTTCCCCCTTGCTCTAGGGGGAACTGCCTTTCAAATGTCCCAGCCTGGCCAGGTCCTCAGCCCACAGCTAATTAAGATTGCCCTCCAAATTCTTTATTCTCTCTAATTAGGCCTATTAAAATAAAAAAAGCTTTGGAGAGAAAACTTTCTGGGCCTAGAGTTACAAATCATTATACTGTGTGACGTCAAGAAAATTGCTTGTCTTCTCTGCGCCTTCATTTTCCCATACCCAAAGTAAGAATAGGTTGTTTTGGTTAATTTAAACAAGCCCTCCCAAGTTCCAAAGTGTTAAGAGTTTCTTTAAAAATTCATAATCACCCCTACCCCCACCTCCACTCCCCTAACATTGGAAGAGGCTCTGCCTGAGGCTGGGAATTATCGGGGTCAGGCCCCAGTTCACATGACTGGAACAGGCACAGCTGTGGACCAGGCACCTCTGGGAGCTGTTTTCCCAACCCCACTGTTCTTCCTTGTACAGCAGGGGCCCCCCTCTCCAGCCTCTAGGAGTGGCCAGCATTGTCCTGCTTGGGTTGGGAGCCTGAGTAGAGATGTCCTGCCTGAGCAGGAAGTGAAACAGGAATTGGGGGGATGGGGAACCCAGGTGAGAAAAAGGGACATCAGAACCCCATGGCACGATGAAAATAAAATAATCAGCTCAGCCTCTTTTACTTTTCCCCCCAACCCCCATCACTGAGGGAGGGATAAGAATTTCAGATTGATCTCTATCCAAATCAAACCTCAACTCCCCACTAAAGTCCAGCCCTGAGACCTAGGCATCTTGTTTGAGATGGGGGTATAGTCTGTCCAACTCTATTCCATCCTCCAGCTATGATTTATGCTACCTTGACCTCAGCACAGCTGGTGCTTCAATGGGCCTGGCTGGCCAAGGTGGTGGGGAAGTAGCCTTTGGTTCTCAGCGTATCTAATCTATACCAGGCCTGCTTAATTCTCTACAACCTCTGTGGACACTGAGGGGCCCTGGAACCCGGGCTCCCAGGAGACTAGGGTTGTAAGGCAGAGTGGTAGGGCCTGGAAACATAGGCACAGGCCAAGACTGAGGAAGGAGGGGGATAGTGGGGAGAGGGTGGGAACTGACTTTGAGTTGGGCTGCTGGACAGTATGGGAGAATGGAAAGGGGGGCTAGGGATAGAGGCCAATGGCACCCCTTGGGACCTGGTATTGGCTGGGTTACATATTTTTGTCCTAGAAAACTGGGAGGCAATACAGAACTGGATTTGAAGTCAGACAACTTGAATTTGAATCTGACTCTAACTTATTATGTGACCTTGGGCAAGTTACTTAACAGGATCATAGGTTCATCCATTTAGAACTGGAAGAAACCTCAGAAATTTTCTAGTTCAACTCCCTCATTTTACAGATGAGGAAACAAACCCAAATTCTTGTCACACAGGTGTTAAGTAGCAGTCCTGGGGATTTGAACCTGACCCTCACACCAAATTTAGCCTTCTTTCCACTGTGGTACATTGCCTCCATTTTCTCTGGGCCTCCATTTCTTCACTTGTAATATGAGGGGTTAGAGCAGATGCTCTCCAAGGTCCCTCATAGCCCTCAATAAAGTGAACAAAAGTCCCTGAAGCTAGAGGTAGAAATGCTATCCCCAGGTCCACGTAAGCACTTTGTTCCCCTTTCTTTTATGTGTCAACAAATGTTAGGACTCTTAGATTAAAATATAAAATGACAACTGGAAGGTAACTTGGAAATCATCTAGGCCAGCCTCTTTGTTTTAATGATTTTTTTTTCTGTTTTTAAATCCCTCAATTTTATTTTCAATGTTTTATTGATTTTGTTTTTGTCACATTCCTTTCTGAATATATCCCTTCTACCTCCTCTACCTAACAAACCTCTCTTGTACCAAAGATTTTAAAAAGTTGAGAAAAAAACAACCAATGCATGCACTGACTTTGACAGCATATGCAACATTGCGTGCCTACAGTCTCTCATGCTCCCCACCCTACCCCTCCCCCCAGGGAAAAGAGGGAGATACATTTTCTCATCTTTTCTCTGAGAAAACATATTTTTCTCTTTTCACTGGCATCAAAGTTGGTCATTATAATTACACAGAGTTCAGTTTTGTTTTATTCTGTCCATTTACATTTTTGTAGTCATTGGATATACATTTTCCTTATGCCTACTTCACTCTACAATAACTCTTATGTCTTCCAATGATGCTCTGAATTCTTCCTATTCTTTATTTCTTATGGTGTAATAGTATGCTCTTCATTCACAGATCACAATTTGTTCAGCCATTCTCCAAAAGAAGGAACTATCTCCTCATTTTGCAATTAGGGAATTTGAGGCTTAAGAGAGGGAATGACTTACCTGATGTCACACAGATAGATATATCAGATCTTCGGACCTAAGCTCATGTCTTTTGATTCCCAAGTCCAAGGCCCTTTCCCCTACAACATCCTGGGAAGGTAGGGTTAACCAAGTAGCAAAGAAGCAACAACAGCTATCTATCTCTTTCCTGTTGAACTTAATGTGTCATTCATTCAACACACCTCTATTAATGTTTTTGGTCCAAGGGTGGAAGGAAGAGAAGTAAATAAGATCTAATCTCTGATCTCCAGGAGCCTATTAATGACCCTGATGCTTCTCCCTGAGAGCAATCATTTCGAGAGATATCCTTCTCCTCCTCCTACAGTGTTTTTGTTATCTTCACTCTTCCCTTCCCCCATTCTCTGTAAGGCTGGAGGCTTCATCTTTGCCAAGTATTATGAACATGTAGTGGCCTCTCCAATCTGCATAGCCAAATACTTACTTACAGCCACACGTGTGAACGTACGTACATGTATAGATACACATTTGTCCGTGTGCAGACACACATACACACAGCAAACATGCAGATAACTTCACCACTGGGAGAGACCCTATATTCTATTTTATTAGCCCATCTCCACTTAAAAAGAATGAAATAGTCTCATAGTGGGGAAGGGACTTACCAGATGACAGAGTATTGAATAGAAGAGACAGGACCCAAACCCATGACTCCGGACTCCTAATCCAGAACACAAAGTCAGAACTAGAATATGGACATATATTAGAATTGACTGGGGCGTTAGCATATAGAACATCAGCAGGAAGGGACCTTAGATCATAGAATGACAGGGCTATAAGGGAACTCAATGACCATCTAGTCCTATCTCTTTATTTTAGCAATGGGAAAGCAGGCCCAGGAATGGGAAGTGATCTATCCATGGGCACAAAATGAATTACAAATAGCTTAGAAGCATAGCTATTGGGAGTGACTGGTTCGCTGTTGGAACTCAGTAAATGTTTAGAATTGAGTCCTCAGCTGGACTGGGATCATTTAGGTGCAGAAACTGCAGGGGGGGCCCAGCCCAGCTGCCCTGGGTTAAGTGGGAAAGTGCTGACCAGCCACAGAACTTCGTGGGAATATCTCCTTCCATCACACCCCTCCCCCAGCCTCAGTCCCAGCTGGCCAGCCCCTTCCCAGTCACTAAGGGATTCCTAATGACCCAAGAGCCACAGGGCACCCAGCAGCCCCAGGGTTAAAGAGAAGCCCAGTGTTTACAGTGGTAACGGGTCTGTGTGTAGTCTCCTGCCTCCCAACAGCCACCTCAGCTGTCCGGCAGTCTGGGTCGTCCCTCCTCCCCTCACTGCTTGGAACACCAACTTCCCATCTTCATGTGTCTCCCTCCCTGGGCTGGGGCCCTTTTCCCTGCTTCTTTCTTTCCATCAACCCCAACTTTACCCTCAGACACCCTCAAAATAGCGTTTGATTTCTGTCCTTCTGTCCATTGGCTCCTGTATTCCTAGCCTTTCCTTCGTGAAGTGGGACCTTCTCTTCACCCTTCCCACCCCCAGTCCAACTTTCAATCTCAGTTGTCTGCCTATTCCATTGTCCTTTCTCCATAGCTTTTCTGCCTCTCCCTGCTGGGCT